GGCGGCAGGCGACGGATTCCGGCGACCGGCGGCGGCAGCAGATTCCGATGACCGGTGGTGTCCGGCGGCGGCAGGTGGCGGTCAACGGTCAAAGTCCAGTCAGCACCCCTTTTTTGATTTTTTTTTTTAAAAATCAAAGTGTTGAAAAAATATGGTAAGCTTTGGCTTACAATTTGGTGAGCTTTGTAATTGTTTTTGATGAGCTTTGCAGTGGCCCGTGGTGAGCTTTGCGTCATCTGACCGTAGTATGTCATCTCAGTGTAAGGTATCATCTGACTGGAGTCAATCCCATATATATATATATATATATATATATATATATATATATATATATATATATATATTAGTTATAATGTAAATTTAGTAAAATTGAATTAATTTTAAAATATAGTTTTGAAATATTATTTATTTATAATATTTGATTATTTTAAACTATATTTAATTCGTGGGTAAAAAATGTCACAGTTTGACCTAAAAAGTCTAACTGTGGCAATTTTTTAAGGACGAAGAGAGTAACATTTATATATACTCAATACAAGAGCTGTATTTTTTATTCTCAAAATATGAATTTGCAAAGTGACGTTATGACACTCTAGAGTTACATCTCACTGTATTTTTTGGTACCATATATTGTCATGATTGAAATCGTACTCCTATTTTAGAATAAGAAATATGGAACTCATTTTTTGGTACTTTCTTCCTATTTTACTCTTATTTAGTCTTTTTCTTTAAATTTTCTTCTCGCTTATTATTATTCAGATGGTTAAAATTTATTCACTTTGTTTATCTATCTTTGTTGCTCATTCGATAAAATAATAGTCATGCATTTCATCTCTAGTTTTGTAGTTTTTTATATACTTTTGAAATATATTTAATTACACACTTATTTTCATATAAAATGAATTTAAAAAATCTTCCGTTCAAACATTGAAACACGCAACTGCAAGAAAATCTATGAAGGGATGGAGTATAATTTTTAAAATGATTTTACTTAATGTTTTGGATTAGAAATAAAAAATACAAGTTATTACTCCCTTTGTACTATAAAAATATTCAACATTATTTTCGTCCGTCAAAAATAAAGTCTAACTTTTACTTTTAGAAATAATTTTGTGATCTTTAAAGTTTCTCTGATCTCATTTGCATCATTTTCTATTACACAATTTATTTATTTTTTTATTTTCGTTCTAAGTCAATAGTAGAACCTTTTTATAAGATGGATGGAGTACACATTTAAAAGTAAATCAAAATTCTAACAAAACAAGTGGTGATGTATCTATTTTGTTTTATCAAACTATGAATGATTTATGTGTATACGTTTCCATTGCTTGTATGTATTTTATAAAAAAGTGGAAAATATTTTTTTCGTTCATAGTTAGATCTCTTTATTTTTACAAGACTCATTATAAATCTTACAAGTGAGAAATTTACCTAAATAGGACTAAAACATAATGACTTTCCCAATATAGGACCATATGTTTTTATTTCCCAATGTAGGACTTTTGGTCATGTAGTCATTATTCAAGTAAATGTCCATCATTACTGGAAGTTATTCTTCCCACTAGGTCATTATTAAATCCTATTTAAGGAATAAAAAAGTTTAAGTCCTAAATTGGAAAAGTCATTATGTTTTAGTCCTATTTAGTGCAAATCTTACAAGTTATTTTATGTGTAAAGGTCTATATAATTGGTATTGACTGTTTGACACAAAATTCACAAAAGAATTTGCATTTAATTGGATACTACGAAGTCGACAACACACTTGGCAATTTTTGAGACTCGCTTCATGAGAGTTCGACAAGTGGACAACACACTTAGCCATATTTTGACACGTCAACATGCCATATCATTTTTAGATTATGTGCTGTTAATTACTTTTTATTATTACATTTTAATTAGTTATAATTGTTCATTTTATAACTTTAATCAAAAAATTATGCGTTTTCTATTTTACGCCTTAGTTACCTTATTAAAAATTTATGTTATTTCCATAACTAAAGCTAATTTGGAGTGATACTTTAATTTAAATATAAGTTTTAATTACAATTGAATCCAAATTTTTGGATTATCTAAAGTCAAGTTAAAAAAAATAAATTTAAATAAAAATTCTTACGTTATGTCGTTATGTAATTTTTATAATTTTTACTTGATAATTTTAATAATTCTTGCCTTATGATTTTAAAATTTTTTTTTTACCTGATATATTTAGGAGTTCTTTCCATGTGATTTTTATTATTCTATAGTTTACTTTTTAAACATTTTAACTACTCTCTCCATCCTAAGATCTCCTCCATTTGACTTTTTGTAATTTTTAAGGAGAGTTGATAAAAAAGATGAAAGTTTACCAAAATATCGTTAATGAAAATGGGTGGAGTATATTAAATGAGATGGTAGAGGTGTAATAAATAAAGTAAGTAAGGATAATTGTGGTATTTTAAGTATTAACAAAGATAATGAAATGATCTATGAAAGACAAATTAAAAGGGCTAATGGGAATAAAAATGAAATTTTTGGCTAACACAACAATTTAAAATATGATAGTAATAATTATTTGAATAGATAAATAATACTCCCTCCGTCCCAAAATGATTGATACATATTGACTTTTTGGAGAATTAAGGGGGGGATATTTTGATGTTGACTTTCCAAAAATACCCTTGATGTGATGGGTAAAAGTAGGATGTGATGTGTAGATTATTAGGAAAAAGGTATGATGTGATAGGTAGGATATGAAAAAGTAAGGGGTAAAAGTGGTTTTTTAATAGAAATGTAACGGACTTTACGGGACACAGTTTTTTCTAAACGTAACAAATTTTTTGGGACGGAGGGAGTATTACAGTACAGATAGATAAATAAAAATATCATCTTGAAAGTAAATTCTATAATTGGTCTCTAATTATAGGTAGTTTTTCATATTAGCAATGCTAGAGTCACAAACAAACAGTTCAAAAAATTCACAAACTTATCTCTTTAACATTTTCTTAGAAATAAGATGCACTTAAATAATAAAAGATATTTTAATTTAAAATCCACAAAAGACAAGTTTGTGAAGTTTGTGAATTATTTGTTTGTGACTCTAGCATTTTCCTTTTCATATTTAGCCTCCAATCCTAAGATATTATATAAATGGTCCTCAATTTTGGAAATAATTCCATAAATAGTCATTTAGGACAAATATGGCAAAAAAAGTTTCCACATATAATTCTGAATGACATATTATGGAATAGTTTTCAAAAATTGAGGATGATTTATGTAATTTCTTAATATTAGGGACATAATATAGAATATTGCATGTAATTAAAAATGGTGTATGCAATTACTCTATTTCTTTACAATCATATATTTAAGATTTAAAGGAAAAAAAAGACTAAAGTAAGAGTAACAAATATAAAATATCAAAATCGGAGCTCCGTGTTTTTATTCTCTAAATATGAGTTAAAATGTATTTACAATGCCAATCATACCAATGTATAACACTAAAAATATGAAATGTTCATATACATTGTCACTTTAACACAATGCAAACTCCTATTTTAGTGTTAAATATATCAATTATTTAATATATTTAATATTATATATTATAATTATGGTTTTTACCTATTATAGTTAGAGTTATTATTATATAATATTACCTTATATAATTAGCCATTAATGTGGAGGATTCTAGAATATATTCCTCCACCTATAAATACATACTTTGTATTCCTCTTCTATCATTCAATCAATAAAGCGTTCTTTATTATTTTTACTCATTTTTTACAGAGAAGAAGGGACATTGATGCTCATTTTTTATTTTTTTAATAAAATGTTCTTTACAGTGTTTCTAAATTCAAATTAGTTTACAAGAAACAATTGAAAGATAAAATTAACATATAAATCACACTCCCTTCTCAAAAGACATTTATTATTTCTATTAAAATGTCACTTTTACCTCTTAATTTTTCATACCTACATATCACATCATACCTTTCTACCAATAATCTATCCATCAAGTCCTACTTTTACTTATCACATTTAAAGACTTTTTTGGAAATTCTATACCAAAATACATTTCCTTTAAATATTTTAAAAATCAATAACTCCTATGTTTTTAAAATCGAAGGGAGTATAAATTATACTACCTCCGTCTCACTCTCTTTGTCCACTTTTAACTTTTGGAACTGTTCATCTAAGCACTTTGACCTATCAAATTTTCTCAATGTGTAAGCCTAAATATAGTCATGTGCAATCTTATTTGATTTGTCTTAGCATATAGATTATTAATATATAATTTTTATAATTTTTTAATATACAAATTACAAGATAAAATGGATTAAAGAAGTGCATTGGATGATGTGCCAAAAGGTAAGTGGACTAAAAGAGTGGGACGGAGGGAGTATGTCTCAAAGCGACGTGGAAAACGTGTAGTATGCCACCCAATCGCCCATGAAGCAAGATATGGATTCTCCAGAATGCTAGGCAGCATTGACTGTACTCATTGTTGCATTGCTTCGCTTGATCTTAGGATTGGGTGTGCAGTGTGCTTTAATTTTTTTAATGATCTTGTTGTGCATTACGATGTTTGACTTAAGTTATCTTCAAATCACTTTATATGAAAACGGTATGAAATTAAAAATGAAAATTATATATTTCAAAAATTACATGAAAAAATCTAAAAAATTAGAGATGACATGACTATATGGTTTTATCAAATTGGCAATGAAATTAGACCAATAAAATAAATAAAATTTGACCATGTAAATAGTAACCATGAACATAATTATTGGACTGAGGAAGTAGGTTTTTAATGTAGTTTTACAGTTTCAGTGCATTTTTAGCTTTTTTTCTTCTTTGTACTCTTAATTTTTTAGTGTATTTTAAATCCTCGCACTTTTTTAATCACGCACCAATTTTAGTTGCCAACTCCAATTTTATATTTTCTACTTTTAAATTCAAAATTTCAAGTTAAGTAATTCAAATTAAATGAAAAATTAAAAATAGCATTAAAGACAAAAACACACCGGACATATTATTCATAATTTATCTAGAAATGGTTAGATTGGTGATCGGAAACAAATCACTTACCACATAATTGGTTTTTTTTGTTGTTGTTGACTTGTTGAAATAATACAAAAAATACGGAGTACTGACTAGCTAGGGCCTAGGAGGGAGTATTATACAAACAAAGACCCGGCTAGGCTGAATGAATGAATTCAAAGCCCGAAACCGGCCCGCTACAGATCCGAACCCAACAGATCGTCTTCAAGAAAAGAATTCTCAGAAAGAAGCTGGAGATACTCATCATACACCTTATCTAGCATTCCATCGTTTCCGGAAACATCACAATGCGCCGCCGGCGGCGAACCCTCACAGCCGTTGAGGATCTCGTCGCAGAACCCGTCCCGCAGCTCGTACATATGCCACGGAATGAAATGGACCGCCGCCGCCGCCGCCGCGCCTCCGTTCTCCCCGGAACAGGACGACACGCTTCCGGCGAGGTCGTCGATGCTGCTGTTCCTCGACAGAGAAACCGGCGGCCGGATCGGCTTCGGGGCGTACACTTTGTGCGGCTTCTCCTCCGCGCCTTCCTCCGCCTTGACGCCGCCTCCCGATTTCTTGATCTGCTTCTTATTCTTCTTCTTGTGGGCCGGTTTTTTGGGCCTTTTCCCGGAATCTTTGATGGGTTTCCCGGGTTTGGGCTCGACGCCGGAGCTCTTGAGCTTCTTGATCAGATGCGTGTTCCAGTAGTTCTTAATCTCGTTGTCGGTCCGGCCGGGCAGCCTTCCGGCGATGAGGGACCACCGGTTTCCGAGAAGAGAATGGAGCCGTACGATCAGATCCTCCTCGTCGGTGGTGAAGTTCCCCCGTTTGATCCCTGGCCTCAGATAGTTCATCCATCTCAGCCTGCAGCTCTTTCCACACCTAAGCAGCCCTGTTTTTTTATTTTTAATACATAAAAAAAACCCATTTTTGTTTAGCAAAAAAATTGGTACCAATATTAGAGCAAATTAACAATGTGTGAATATGCTATTGGATTTTCGGCAAACCGATCGAGGTAAAATTAAGTCTTTTTTTCATATAAAGTTTAAATCTATTTTCTAAAAAAAAAAAAAAACTTAACACTCCTCTAACACTCCTCTCAAGTGGTAACTCAACTAGTGAATCTAGTGTCTCAATCTGTTTATAGCTAGCCTAGAAATTGATAGAAGAACCAATCTCAAGGTTTCTTTGAAAACATATACTTACTCTGTATGTTTGTAGTTATAAATAAATAAATATAAATATACCAGCTTTTTTGGGCAGAGCTCTCCATTGGCCTTCACCATGTTGTTGAATGTAATGGGTGAGAAGGGAATCCTCTTTGGTAGACCAGGGGCCTTTCTTCAGTCCTTCTTTAGAACAGCAAGGGGCTCTTCCCATCTCTCTCTCTCTCTATCTCTACAAAGTAAGTAGGAAAAAAGGAGTGAGAAAGGCTCAAAGAAGCACTCCCTCCACAAGTGGAAGAGTCTGTGTGGCGTGGCCGCTCTTTTGATAGCCAGCAGCAGCAGGGCTGGAGCGAGAGCAGAGCATTAAATAGGGGGGCGTCTACTAGTAGTGAATGGGTGTGGATGCTACATGTACGGACGGAGCCTCTTTCTTAGCTGTTTTCCCCTTTATTATTGTATACCCCACCCCTTCCAAAACAAAAATGCTAGAGGTACACTAAGGGAGGGGGTGTATTCAATTAGGATTATGAAAGATTTGAATAGATTGTTTAAAGTCAATGGATTCTGCAAAATCTATGGATTGTTTTAAGTCTATGCAGAATTTGATAGATTTTAATGTATTCTATCAACAAGATTTTATAAGATTCTGTTTGATTGTTTATAATCCATAGATTATTTATACATAAATATGAATTATTTTATAAATTTATACATTGTTGTAACATGAACTATTGTAATTAGCTATTAAAAACTTTGTTTATGAAATCAATAAAAAATTAAAAATAATCTAATAAAATAAAAATAACTTATTTTTTAAAAAAATTATCATTGTCGTAATATATTTATTAGAATAAAATAAGCAATAAATTTGTTTTTACATCTAAAATTAATATTATCTATACGCTATTCTTCTTGTATGTCAAAACTCATCAACAATGAAATTCTAAAGACAACTCAAGAGAAGTCATTATTCAAAATTTTAAAAGATAATTGAAAAATAAAATTAGTTAACAACATAGTCTTCCATTTCAACTTCATTATCACCAAAACCTTCTTCATTCTCCTCATTAGCATCATTTTGTGGTCTATCGGCCCACATAGCTTCAGCAATGCCATGTCTCCAAGCGTTAGCTTCTGTTCTTTGTTGTTGTTGAGTTTGAGAAAGTATTTCAGAATTTTCTTCCTCCATGTCAAGATATGATGAAGAAGATGACTCAAGTTCTACTTCAGGAGGAAATTCATCAAAACGACACTCTTTACGAAGAAAGTTATGTAATCCTTTTTCATCTATTTTCTTGATTCCTCTTCAGTTCCTTTTTCATCTATTCCTTCTCTTCCTCCCACTTCCTCTAGGTAAATAGATATACTGGTTCGTGTATATTTATGGATTTTGTAATAAACATCTGTAAAGAAGTTTATGTATCACTCGTATTAGTATAATTGGTATAAAGATGCTCCATACAATTTAGGAATATTTTTTAAGCAATTAGATAAGTTTAAACAATTCCAAAACATAAATACCCCGGAGTATATTTTTTGAAATTGGAAAACAAAAAAAAAGACAAACAAAAGTTATTTGAATCATGGCAAGCATCCAGTGACATAAATTGATTCCCAGAACCACAAATTCATTCCCAGGAAGCATCCAGTGACAAAAAAAGACAAACATAAGTTTATGTGGCTCAAATTGATGCCCAGAACCATGGCAAGCATCCAGTGACACACTGTTGAACCAAAAACTCAGCATGAATTTCCCAATAACTCAATAATTCATTTTGAAAAACAGGCTTTTCTTCCGGTTTGTAGATCTAAACAAAAGTGTTTTTAACCCAAATTTGAATGGAGTAAAAATATTCCAATAATATTTTTCTTTGAATCTTAATACTCCAATAAGTCAATTTTTAACAGTCCAAAGTTGGAATTTGATGAAGTGTGCAAGATAGTTAATTAGGGCACACTAGAACAAATCCAAGAATCTAAAATATGAAAGAGACGAGTATAGAAAAAACCTACCTTAAAGATCCCGAACAGAGGAGAGGAAGACGACCAGAGGCGATGATGGAGGAGTGATGAAGAAGACAACTGAAGAAGAAGAACGTCCGATGAAGAAGAAGGCCGAAGAAGAAGAAGTCAGAAGAAGAAGAAACGGCCGAAGAAGTAGACGTATGGAGTTTATAAAATCTTTTGTTTTTTGGTGAGATTTGGGAATGGATTTATATTTATACTCAATGCTTAAAAATCCATCAAAATCTAAACTTTTAAAAATCTTTAAAAATCTTTCAATTTTTTGAATACTATCATATTTAGAAGGACTTTTTAAATTCTCAATTGAATACATTCAGATTTTAAATGACTTTTTAAAATCTGAATTGAATACCTACAGATTTTCAAAATCCAAAAAAATCCATCAGAATCCTGATTGAATACACCGCCCTAAAAGTGTACCCCAAATATACCCCACCCCCTCCATCACTACATAATTTGGCAAGTAAAATAATAAATAAATAAATAAATAAATAAAAATGAGTGGTAATGGAGGGGGTGGTGTACATTTGGGGTACACCTTTGGTGTACCCCTAGCATTACTCCTTCCAAAATCAATTGTCAAATTTTTTTTGAAATCCAATTTACCTGCTCTCAGTAATCATTCGGTCAAATCTGATGGCATCCTCGAAGATGGAATTCATTTTTTTTTACAATTGTCAAATTTTTTGAAACTACCTCTCTATTTTTCAGTAGATACAATATCTATCTAGACACATTTTTTTCAAACCTTGCTTTCATGAGATCCAACTGAATTTTGTTTTGACCTAAAAGAAGAATCGTGCTAGATGTACCGAAAGATTGTATCCTAAAACTTAATAAAGGTTTTAAACTTAGATTTTGATGTCTTACAAAATCTAATATATCAATGTGAAATGTAAGCACCAACCTTTGGGTTACATTGATCCAAAATAAGCGCAAGATGTAACCCAGAGATTGTATCTATTTACACTTAAACTTTCCTCAACCATCAACCTTTCACTTATATTGTCACAAAATGTAAGTGCAAACTTTTAGGGTACATTTTGAGGTAACTAGCCTTATCCTTAAAAAATATTTATGAAAAGTGTTACTCCTAGATTGAAATGGATGGAGTAACACTTTTCCATTGTCATCTAGAACTAAATAAATATTCATCTAGGATTAAAAATATTAGTCTTAGATGACAATGGAAATCTTTCCAACCACACCAAAAATGTTGTATACCTTGAAGTTTTTTAAAAATTTTGGCATTAAAACAAACTTTGTTATGTATACATTTAATTCTTCAAATATTATTCATTTTACTTTGGCTTTTTTGTCTATGTTATTATAAATCATATAAGAAATATATTTTCTTCGTTCGATCCCGTGCATGGCACGGGTTAAAATACTAGTCATTTTAAAACACATCTAATTTTGCATGTTGTTTGAAAGAGGACAAATAATTTAAGATGCAAGGAGTATTTGTTATATTTTCATAATAAATTTCATTTCCTAACCTTTGGCTTTATAATATGTACTGTTGTCTCCGTCTGTGTGTTTGTGTAGTTAGACATTTCGAAGTCATATTCAACACTCACAAATCATCAATTAAATAAGGATAAAGCTATTTGTACCCCAAGTTTTTGTACCCCATTTTGTACCCCGCAGGTTTGCACCAACACTTTGTGTTGGTGTAAAACTAATTTTTATTAATGCACCAACACTTTGTGTCCGTATAAATTTTTGTTAACGCACCAACACTTGTGTCGGTGTAAAACATCAAAATGTTTGTGTATAACTGTGGTGTACAAATGGGGTACAATTTGTGGTGTAAGTGTAGCATGACCCATTAAATAACGGCTAGGTTCTAGAAAGAGTGGCTACGGAAGCCACTCACCCAGTTGGGACACTTACGATGCTCTGTTCACATAATTGATAGTTCCTACTCCTCTAACCCCCCCGGTGAACCCCCCACCCAGTCCCGATCCCAATTCATCCTCCTAACCATGTCAATTGTGGGGTACAAGTTTCGTTGACTTTGGAGTCAATATTTTTGACTTTAAAATCAATTATACTTACGGGGTGCAATTGACGTAGGTGGGGGGATGATTTGGGCTCGAGACTTAGCGGGGGAGGGGGGGGGTAGGAATCATTAATTTTATGAACGAAGCTCCGTAGGGGGACAGTGGCTTCGGTGGCCACTGAAACCCAGTGGCCACCGAACCGGGCCGATTAAATAATACCTTAAAATTTCTTACTGGATTCTGAAAACTAATAATTTTAATCTGCTAGCTAGAACCTAGATTTGATATTGTATAAAATTAAGATTGAATTTAATCCATCCATTTTACGATGTTTGAATAAAATTAGTTTTAATTCAATTTGTCTCGACATTCGCATAGAAAAAAATAAAAATTACATATTTAAAACTACATCAAAAGTCCACAAAATAATATAGATGACATGACTAATTATTTTATCGAATGAGTAACAAAAATTAATAAAAAATGGATAAAGTTCGACCCAATAAATAGTACTCCCTCCGTCCTACAAAACCATTCTCCTTTCTTTTTTCATCTGCCTCAAAAAACTCTTCCCTTTCTCTATTAAAAAGTCACTTTTATCCCTAATACGGAGTAACTCTTAACCTACATATCACATCACACTTTTTCTCTATTACGGAGTAATCTACTGATCACATCCTACTTTATCCATCACATCAAAGGACTTTTTTGGAAAGTCAATACCAAAATACACTCCCCTTAAATTTTTTAAAAGTCAAAATGAGAAGTTTTTTACGAAATGGAGGAAGTATATAAAAACTTGTTTTCTAGACGAAGGGAGTAATCGATAAGTGGAACCTTGTAATTGAAATACTTCCTCCGCCAGAACTTGGAACCAAAAATTGTTTTCTAATTTGTTCAGCATAGGTGTACACCTTCATTTTGTGAAAGTGTGATGTCAGATAGTTCACGTAAGCATAAATTGTTAGTGCAATATTTTTTAATCGTATTATCACTTTGTACCAGTGTGCATCATCAAAATATTTATTCATACTTTTAGTTTATGTACACTTTGGAGTACACTCCTGGTGTACCCATAGCATGGTAGATTAATTTTTCACTCGTGCTAGGTCTTCACTCGCATGGTGTACACTACTTGTATACCATGTTTTGGACTAGCTATCATGTACTTTCGCAAAATGTTTGTATCACAAGCATTTTTGTCCGTGTGTGCAAGTGCGAAACATGGAAGTGGTGTACAATATGTTGGTGTAAGTAATATTTTTGTACCCTTTTCGTCCATAAAGTTTTTTGTCGTTCACTTTTAACATGTTAAACTTTGTTCGTTTTATTCATCTATTTTCATTTCAAGTTTGATAAAATAATATGGTCATGTCACATTTAACAATTTTAGATTCTTTGTACAGTAATTTTTATATAAAATAAATTAAAAATAACTTCTATCATACAGATTACAGAGTACATCGTAATGTCCAAGGGAAAAGTTTGGAGACGGAGAAAGCAATTTGTTTTGAGTTTGGCAAAAAACAACTCATCCTTTCGTCAAAAAAAATTTCAGAGTTCCGAAGTTAGAACGGACACAAAGGAGTGAACAAAAAATGAAAATAGGAAGGAAGAGATGTCTTTTTCATGTATGTTCTAGAGCACCTTCCGGCCAAATAGAGAAAAAAACAAAACACATCAATTTTTTTTGACATGACAACAAAAATTAAACATTTTAATTAGAAACGTCGAATAGAAGTGATTCAAATGATTGATACCGAGTATAATCGCTATGAGTATTGGCATATTCTTCTACTCCGCAATTCTTTTTTATTCAATTCAAATTCTTCATCAATAATGATAAATAATGAATTGTAAAATGATATACAAAAATTAAAAATGATAGCAAAAGGAAAAAAAACATAACGAGTCTCTTAAAAAACCAATTAATAACCAGACGCTTAAACTATAATTAGTTTAAGACAATTGACAACCAGTTTATACAAAAATTACCTTCGATGCTTTGTTCACAAAATGGATGGTTCCTAGTATTTCTAAATCCCACCCAACCCCTTAAGTCTCCACCAAATATGTGGCTATTATGCATTGCATATTTGCATAATAGTCACACATTTGGAGGGATGTTTGGGGATTGGGGTACGGGGCAATTAAGAGGGTTAGAGAGGATAAAACCCATCAATTTTGTCAACGGACACGAAAGTGCTCTAAAAATACAATGAACCCATCTCTGGGGTGCCTCGATAACGACCAGAACGGTACTAGAGAGAAAATAAATCTTGCTTTCATTACATATTTACGGCAAAAAGTGAAA